GAAACCGCCACACTCCTTCCCTCGATAGAGTCACACGGAATCGACCCACCAGCGCCGTTGCTGCTGCGGCTCTGGCCTTGCACAAAACCTGCTGCTTCTGGCGCTGGTGGTGGTGCCTCTGCTGCTGCAGCCGATCCCCCTCCTAAACCGCTGTCATCGCCGTCGTTGCACAGCAAATCAGACATGACATCATCACTGCTGCTTTTGGGTAACACTGATTGGGGCGCAGAGGGGTGCAGAGTGGTGCAGTGCTGTATGCGGGAGGCGAGCTCTATGGTTGCATGGCGCCACCACAGGGCTCTCTCCTCCGCCTGTTGCACCTGGTGGGGACAGGCGCGGGTCAGGAGAAGGGGAGAAAGAGGGGCAATCAGAAAGGGCGAGATGGGGGGAGTGGAAAGGTGTAAAGGGAGCTCGATGGTTGCATGGCGCCACCAGAGGGCTCTGTCCTCCGCCTGCTGCACCTGATGGGGACAGGTAGAGGTGACGGTTGGGGGGCACGCGGGGGAGGAAGGATGAGTAAGGTCAATGGTTGCATGCTGTGCCACCAGAGGGCTCTGTCCTCCGCCTGCTGCACCTGATGGGGACAGGTAGAGGCGACGAAGGAAGAGGGAGATGTTTAAATCGTGAAAGTACTGATTGGGACCAGCGTTGAAGGGGTTCCCAAGGATAATATCCACATGGGTGTAGGCAGGAGGAAGCCGAGCTAGCACTCAGGAGGACCATGCCGAATAAGAGCGATAGCTCCCCTTGCTATGCGGTGTGCACATGGAGTGATAGTGCATGCATGCACGCCAACCTGCTGCTCATATTCACTCGCCATCACCATGCACACATGGCTGTGTCGCACCGCACACATGTACACAAGGCTGTGTAGTATCGCGCACATGCACACGAGGCTGTGTAGTATCGCACACATGCACACAAGGCTGTGCAGTATCGCACACACGCACACATGGCTGTGTAGTATCGCACACATGCACACATGGATGTGTAGTATCGCACACATGCACACAAGGCTGTGTAGTATCGCGCACATGCACACAAGGCTGTGTAGTATCGCACACATGCACACAAGGCTGTGTAGTATAGCGACATGCACACAAGGCTGTGCAGTATCGCACACACGCACACATGGCTGTGCAGTATCGCACACATGCACACATGGCTGTGTAGTATCGCACACATGCACACAAGGCTGTGTAGTATCGCGCACATGCACACAAGGCTGTGTAGTATCGCACACACGCACACAAGGCTGTGTAGTATCGCACACACGCACACAAGGCTGTGTAGTATCGCACACATGCACACAAGGCTGTGTAGTATAGCGACATGCACACAAGGCTGTGTAGTATCGCACACACGCACACATGGCTGTGCAGTATCGCACACATGCACACATGGCTGTGTAGTATCGCACACATGCACACAAGGCTGTGTAGTATCGCGCACATGCACACAAGGCTGTGTAGTATCGCACACACGCACACAAGGCTGTGTAGTATCGCACACACGCACACAAGGCTGTGTAGTATCGCACACATGCACACAAGGCTGTGTAGTATAGCGACATGCACACAAGGCTGTGTAGTATCGCACACATGCACACAAGGCTGTGTAGTATCGCGCACATGCAAATGGGCAACAGCAGCTTTTTGCATGAAAACACACTCACGCATATAACACTGTCCATACCTGCTGCTCATAGTCATTCTCCATCATCCTCAACTCCTCCTCCTCATCACCTTCCTCTTCCTCCCCCCCAGCCCCCTCATCTCCCCCTTCCCCTCCGCCATCTCCCTCTAATCCTTCCACTGACCCCTCATTTGTCTCCTCAGCCTCTGCCCCAGCTGCTGCTGCTGTTGTTGCAGCTGCTGCCACTGCTGGTGGCGTTGCTGCTGCTGCCCCAGCTGCTGCTGCTGCTCCTGTTGCAGCTGGCTCATCTCCCACTCTCCCATTTCTTGCCAAATTCCCACCAACAGCAGTCACAGAAACGTTCCCTGCAAGTGCAGGGACAACTGCAGCAGCAGCAGCAGCAGCAGCAGAGCTGGCTGCAGTTGCAGGGACAGCAGCAGGAGCAGCACTGCCAGCAGCAGCAGCAGCATGCATGTCAGAAACAGAACTACCAGGAGAGCCGTGAATCCAAGTGTTGAGAGAGGTGGCGGCAGGGACAGCAGCAGGAGGAGCACTGCCAGCAGAAACAGCAGCAGCATGCATGTCAGAAACAGAACTACCAGGAGAGCCATGAATCCACGTGCTAAGGGAGGTGGAAGCAGGGAAGTCAGAGGGGGAGGAGCTGAGTAGGAGATGGTAGTGCTGGTGCTGTTTCTGCTGTGCTTGCTGCTGTACCTGCTGCTGCAGCTGCTGTGGCTGCTGCTGTGGCTGCTGCTGTAGCTGCTGCTGTGGCTGCTGCTGTGGCTGCTGCTGTGGCTGCTGCTGTGGCTGCTGCTGTTGGAGCTGCACCTTTGGCTGAGGCTGCGTGCTTAGAGCCTGTGAGTGTCTGCTTTGTGCGTCTGCACTATCACTCGCCAGAGGTGTGGATGGTGTGGTGGGTGGCATGCGGTGAAGAGGGGTGATGAGGAGTGGGGAGGGGAGTGGGGAGGGGAGGGGCAATGGAGGAATGGATGGGGAGGGATTGGGCGGCTGGGGTTGAGAGATGGGGAGGAAGATTGAAGGGGCTTGGGGGTAGGCATTGGCATGTTGGCTTGGGGGAACGATGGGGGGAGCACCAATACGAGGAGGAGCAATGGGGGGAAGAGCAATGGGCGGAGGAGCAATGGGCGGAGGAGCAATGGGCGGAGGAGCAATGGGGGGAGGAGCAATGGGAGGAGGAGCAACGGGCGGAGGAGCAATGCGCGGAACAGTGGGGGTGGCTGCAGTGCTGCTAACAGCAACTGTTGCTGGAGACGCAGGAAGTATGGGAGCAAGAGTGGGGGTAAGAGCAGGAACCGGGGTGAGAGCTTGCGCAGGAGCAGCGGCAGGGGAGGAGGAGGAGGACGGAGGAACAGCAGAGGAGGAGGGAGCAGCGGCAAGGTTGAGGAGGGAGAGGAAGGAGGAGGGGCGGGTGAGCGATGGTGGACGGAGGGGCTGAGCAGACGGGTCTGAGGCAGACACGATGGCATCGAAGAGAGAGAAGTCCTGCAGACATGGGATGTGAAGGGGGAGAAAGGAGGGGGGCGGGGTAAGGGAAGGGAGGGCGGACGGAGGGGAGGCGTTGAGGTGAGGGGTGTGAGGCTCACACGATGGCATCGAAGAGAGAGAGGTCCTGCAGACATGTTGTGTGAAGGGGGAGAAAGGAGAAAGGGAAGTAAAGGAAGGGGGGACGGAGGGGAGGCGTTGAGGTGAGGGGTCTGAGGCATGTTATGCTGGCATGCTCAGTGACGCGATGGCATCGAAGAGAGAGAAATCCTGCAGACATGTTATGTGAAAGGAGAGAAAGGAGAAGGGGAGGGTGAGGGAGGAGGGCGGATGGAGGGGTTGAGGTGAGGGGTCTGAGGCTGAGACAATATGGCATCTAAGAGACAATTGCATCAAAAAGAAAAACGTCCTGCATGCATGTTATGTGCAAGGAGAGAAAGGAGAGGGGGCGAGTAAGGGAAGGGGGGACGGAGGGGCTGGGCTGAGGGGCCTGAGGCAGACAATAGGCATCTAAGAGAGACAAGTCCTGCAGAGATGTCATTTGGCATGCCATGCCAAAGAATGCCATGTGCCATGTGCCATGCCACCCCATGCCATCCAGTGCCATCCAACGCCAAACAAAGCCATGCAATGAGTTTCAAATCCACACCATGCATGCCATGGCAGACACGGCCATGCCAAACCATGCCATGCCATGCCATGCCACAAAAGCAGAGCGAGTGACCCTTTTGAGGGTCCTAAAACGAGGGATGGCGGAGAGAGAAGGGATGGAGGAGAGAAAAGCGATGGTGGAGAGAGGAGGAGGGGGGGATGGCGCAGAGAGAAAAGGGAGATGGCGCAGAGAGGCGGGGAGAGGCTGGGGAGAGGCTGGGGAGAGGCTGGGGAGAGGCTGGGGAGAGGCTGGGGAGAGGCTGGGGAGAGGCTGGGGAGAGGCTGGGGAGAAGCTGGGGAGAGGCTGGGGAGAGGCTGGGGAGAGGCTGGGGAGAGGCTGGGGAGGGACATACCACACAGCGCCGGCCGTTTGCAGCTCGATAGACCATCTTCCTGAATGCGGGGCAGGTGGTGAGAGGATGAGAAAATGGAGAGAAAGCAAGGAGAATACTCAGGTGGTGAAAATTTAGAGGCGCCTGCAAACCATTTTCCTGAATAGGCGTCAGGTAATGGCAGGTGGAGTGGAGAACGAGTGGGAAATTCATAGATGGTGGATATTCAGATGGCTGGAATTTAAGTGATTGTGAGCAGGAAGAGGCCGGGGGGGGAGGGGGAGGGGGGGGGGAGGGGCGTCGGGGGGTTTGGGGCTGAGGGGTTTGAGAGAAAGAAAGGAGCGGTGGGCACTCACACGAAGCGGTAATTGTGTTTGATGTCACACGGGCGGTAGGAGTGGCGCACTGGCAGGCGGACAAGTCAACGGGGAATGGGGTGAGAAAGAGGAAGCAGGAAAGAAATTTGGGCTTGCAGTCACCTCGCTACAGTCACCACCTCGCTACAGTCACCTCGCTAGAGTCACCTTAGAGCATTCCTAAGTGTCACCTTGTAACCCTCGCTACAGTCAGCTTCCTACAGACACGTTAGAGCATTCCTAAGTGTCACCTTGTAGACCTCGCTACAGTCACCTCGCTATCGCAATTGTCCACTGCCTCCAGATGATGTTACACAGGCAATGTGATGTCACTCCTTGCAGCCCTCGCTACAGTCACCTCATTACACAATCACCTTGCAAGGTGGCAGAGGTGGAACAGTCGACCGCCACCAGCAGCACCAGGATCTCGAGGTCACCGCGCACAATCACCTCACTACAGTCACGTTAGAGCAGCCCTAAGGGCACCTTGTAGCCCTCGCTACAGTCACCTCGCTCTACAATCACCTCGCTCTACAGTCACCTTGCAGCGTGGCAGAGGTGGAGCAGTCGACCGCCTCCAGCAGCACCAGGATCTCAAGATCCGATCGCTCCATCATCTGGATAGAGCGGGGGACGAGGAAGAACAGGGAAGTGAGCAGAGGATGTGAATACAAGGAGATGAGACTACTGGCAGACGTGGAGCAGTCGACCGCCTCCAGCAGCACCAGGATCTCAAGATCCGATCGCTCCATCATCTGGGTAGAGCAGGGGACGAGGAAGAACAGGGAAGTGAGCAGAGGATGTGAATACAAGGAGATGAGACTACTGGCAGACGTGGAGCAGTCGACCGCCTCCAGCAGCACCAGGATCTCAAGATCCGATCGCTCCATCATCTGGAAAGGAGGCGGGGAAGAGAGGTGGGGTGGGAGGGAGAGACGTGGGAGACTCACAGATGAGAATATGGACTCAAGTCACGACAGCAGCATCAGGATCTCGGGGTCTGACCGCTCCATCATCTGAGAGGAGGGAGGGGAGGCGAGAGCAGAGCATGGGGGGGAATGAGAAGTCACACACACACCCACCCACACACCACTGCCTCCAGCAGCACCAGAATCTCGAGGTCCGATCGCTCCATCATCTGAGCAGAGGAAGGAGGCGGAAAAGGAGCAGCGCACGTGAATTTCTTTTGAGAATTCTCAACAAGGGAAGCACGAAAGGACTGGGAGCATACGTCCCCCACGACAACGTCCTGCAGCACCAGGATCTCGAGGGCTGACCGCTCCATCATCTTTGATGAAATTTATTGGATTCTAAACGCAGCAAGCCTGCTAAGAGTAACGATCTGAGCCTACTAATCTGAAAATCGAGGGAAGTAGTGAGAAAAGGTCTACTAATCAGAAAGCCAGACACATTAGGCCTGGATGTCGCGTGTGAACGCGTTTCGGCCAGCAAAGGCCTTCTCCTGCAGCACCAGGATCTCAAGGGCTGACCGCTCCATCATCTTAAGAGGAAGGGGGGGTGTGTGTGTTCGACTGCACTTGCCACTCCTTGTCACCTGGCGTGCTTGCTTACTCGGTCAGCTGTGTGATGTTACAGAGTGTGCTGTTAACAAGTATGCTTCTTACCGAGTGCGAGAGCCCATACAAGGGGCTCTCATTGTGTGACTGCGTGGGTGACGGTGCAGGGCAGGACCAGGTACATCTGACTGCCGCCAGCCACAGGCAGCTGGGAGAACTGCACATCACTCCCACTTCACAAGTGTAATGAGCTCCATGAGGGGTCTTACCGAGTGCGAGAGGCAATATAAAGGGCTTCCATGAGTCACAGCGTGCGTGACAGTGCAGGGAAGGCCCAGGTAGATCTGACTGCCGCCCGCCACAGGCAGCTGGGAGAACTTGAAGACGGATTCGTCCTCGTGAGCCAGGATGTTGTTGTTGAGCGCCGCTAGCATGCGCACGTGCGCCTGGTGGGGGAGGGCACATGAGCAGGCAAGTGATAGGCGGCTGAGAGGCAGGTGGGAGAACTTGAACACTGCCTCGTCTTCATGTGCTAGAATGTTGCTGTTGAGCGCTGCTAGCATGCGCACGTGGGCCTGGTGGGAGGGGATCATATTGTACAAGAAAGAGGACGTGCAAGTGGGTGGGAGAAGTTGAACACTGCCTCGTCATCGTGAGCTAGGATGTTGTTTTCAGCGCTGCTAGCAAGCGCACGTGCGCCTGGTGGAATAGGGACCATATAAGGAGGGCGAAAGAAGGGGGAATGGGTGGCAGGCAGCTTAGCGGAATTGACGACTGCCTCGTCCTCGTGGGCACGGATGTTGCTGTTGAGTGCCGCTAGCATGCGCACATGCACACATGCGCCTGCTAGGCGGTGTACTTTGAGGCGCCTCAAAATACACCTCATGTTGCTGTTGCGTGGCACTAGCATGCACATGCGCACATGCACCTGCTAGGCGGTTTGTGCAGGGAATAGGGAGGGAAATATGCAACAGGCAGCTGGGAGGACTTGACAACCGCCTCGTCCTCGTGGGCACGGATGTTGTTGTTGAGTGCCGCTAGCATGCGCACATGTGCACAGCATCAGGCCCATGCACGTGATACTATGCTAGATAGAATTTGATGCTAGATAAAGTTTGTTGCTAGATAAAGTTTGGAGCATACATACATGATTTGAGCTCACAGATATGAATTAGTGCTTACACATACGATTCCATGCTTACGGACATCGTTTAATGCTGACAGATATAATGGTTGCGGAGATAACTGCTGCAACGGGAGCTAGGCTACGGGCTAGGCACGTGTGCTCGTGTGATCTCTGCGTTCGTTCACTTAGTCGCTTCCTTGTGTTCACGCTGCTTGCTAGTTCACGGGGAGAATTGGCAAGAGTTTCACTAGGAAACATGACAAATCATTGGAGCAACAACATTGGCAGCATTGACTACATCAGAGCTAGCTAGGCTGCTGGTCGACCTCCAGCGCAGCACGGTCGACCGCGCTCCAGCGCAGCAGCGCTCGCTCCGCTCCAGCGTTGCAGAGTAGCGGTTCGCCAACGTTGCAAGTCCACGGTGTGCCAACGCTGCAGCAAGTCGGCTGCACAGCGTTGCACCTGTAGGACAACGGTGCACCTGCTTCGCAGGTGCGCGCAGCTGGTTGGCGCTCCACACCTTGTCACGAGCATAGCGCAGACGCCTGGCAGACTCCACGCCAGCGACTGCGCCCACCAGCCACGTCGACCTCGGGATACCAACCCCGAGGTCGGCCTCGCAGACTCCACCCTGGCGACACTCGCACACGTCGCCCGGGTATTCCGGTCGACCGGGCAACCACGCCTGGCCGACCAGCGCAGTCCGTAGCCGGCCACGCATGCCCGGCGTCCCTAGTCCGGCGTCCAGGCGCCCAGGACGCCTTCCGAACCCCCAGGTCGGCGTCCAGACGCCCAAGACGCCGAGCAAACCTCCAGAGCGGCGTCCCTCCTCCCAGGACGCCGACCAGACGCCCAGGTCGGTATCTGGGCCCCCCCGGGACGCCCAGGTCGGCGTCCGGACCCCCAGGACGCCGTGCAGACGCCTAGGTCGGCGTCTGGCCTTCCAGAACGCCGTGCAGGCGCCCACGACGTCGACCAGGCGCCTGGGTAGTCGTGGCGACGCCCAGCTCGGCGTCCAGCTTCCCAGGACGCCGTCCAGGCGTCCAGGACGCCAACCAGGCGTCCAGGACGGCGTCCTCCTGTTCGGCGCCCTCCAGCCAGGCGCCCTCCAGCTCGGCGCCCTTGCAGTGGCCCCCGTGCCCACTGCTGCAGGTCGGCTGCAACCCCCGCACATCCGACCACAAGGTTGGCTCCGCCCAAGCGAGGACGGGGCCTAACAACACTCCCGTTGACAATGGTAAGCTTATGAATACGATTTGATGCTCATAGATAGAATTTGATTCTTACATTTATGATTTGATGCTCACAGATATCATTTAATGCTTACAGATATGATTTGATGCTTCCTGAAATCAGCCACTCGGAAGGAGAGGCGGAGCTGCCCAAGCTCCTGTGGGCAATCCAAGAGGTGGAAAGCGGTGGAGAGAGGTGAAGTTACGACGGGATGCAGAGATGTGGGGGGACGGAGATGTGGAGAGGTAGAGGGGGAGAGAGGATTAGTTGGAGACAGGCGGGGAGGGAGAAAGAGATGGAGAGGGACAGCAGGGAGTGAGGAGGGACATCAGAGCGCGTTCATGTAGGAGAGTGTGTGGAATGATTTTTTAGTCGACTCAAAAGTCACAGCGTTCATTTTTTCTTTCTTTCTTGATTCTCACACAACGCCTGCAGCATGCAGGAGAGTGTGTGGAGTGGAAGTAAAGGGGCAAGGGCAGGAACAGAACAACACAAGGTAGAGGCGGAGAGGTGGAGTGACAGTCTGACAGTCTGACAGGCGGAGAGGCAGATGCGAGTGGAGTGCAGGAGAGCAGGTGGAATCGAGGCGGCAAGGACAGGTACAGAACACAGGGTAGAGAGATGAACAAGGTTGGTTCAGAATGATGTGTGATGCGACGTGGCATAAAAGACGAGTGATTCATTCTATACATGCCCATGCATGCATGCAACACGGCACACACGCACCATACCTTTTACATGGCCATACCACAGCACACCGCACAACACCACACCACACCCAGCCGCCGCAAATCACACAGCATCGCACCGTATCGCACCATACCGCACCGTACCACAGCATACCTCGTACATGACCATGCACTGGCTGAACTTGATCGTGCCGGCACGCCGGGTGGGGCGAGAGAACCTGCATTAGGAGGCATGGCATGTGGGGCATGGTGGTGCGGAGATATGGATGAGAAGAAATGACACATTACATTCATGTTGCATGTCCTTGAGTCGCCCCTAGTTTTGGTTCGCCTCAAAACTAGACTTAATGTTGCATGTTCTTGAGTCGCCCCGCTACCCTCTCCCCACTTCTCACTCCCCCACCTCACCATTCCCCAGTTTTCCCCACTCCCCACTCCCCATTCCCCACTCCCCACTCCCCACTCCCCATTCCCCGCTCCCCATTCCCCACTCCCCATTCATCACTCCCCACTCCCGACTCAGGGTCACCACAGCGAGCATACCAACAAAAAAGTTGATACCAAGAACAAGTTTCGGGACACACATGTGTGACGAAAGCACGCATTTGACGTAGAACACACCGAACAAGCAGGGCATAGTCGAATCCACAGTTACCGCGAAAAGCACCGTTGAGAATTTCAACAGAGGCAAGGGAAGCACGCGTGGAGAAAGCACGTACTTGACATAGAAGACACCCAGTAGGGCGTAGGCGAATCCGAGAGTCACCACAGAGAGAACAGCAACAAAGGAGTTGACAACGAAGCAGTCCGGGTGGGGTGTGAGGTCGCCACCAAACCCTGTAGGAAGCGAGATTAGAAGGGGCAGAGAGGTAAAGGAGATCGGCTGATAAAGATGTTGGCACTATCTCAACTGACGAGGTGTAATGTTTTGCCGCCACTTCACAACCGCGTAGCGCAGTGGATTAGCGCGTTCGACTTCGGATCGAAAGGTCGCGGGTTCGATCCCCGTCGTGGTTGCACAATTGCTCTTTTGGCTGACTGCCTACTGCTGACTTCGCCAGACAAGCAAGCTGCCACCAAGTCTCCACTAAAGCAGCAACTGGACGTCAAGAACCAATCGTTCTATTCTTTTACCTTGGGGACTCAAAATAACATGCACAATTTTTTGAAGAGAAGACGTGAATGAGAACTTGAACAAGATGAGTGAGGGGTGGATGGAGCATGTGATATGGAAACGATGGACAAGATAAGCTGAAGATAATATGAAGCGGAGAATGGAGAAGGAAGACTGACCGATGGACATGGAAGATTGCACGCTGTTGATTGACGGATGCGGAAAATGGCGAGAGAAGCGGGCACCAGAGACAACAGATAGAGGGGAGGGGACAGCAGACAAGTATGCAGAAAAGAGTTAGCGGATATTAGCATGCACAAGGACGGACAAGGAACGGACAAGGGACAGACAAGGGACAAGGAACGATGAAGGGCAAGGAGGCAGAGGATGTGCGTGTGCATGACGCACAATCGCGACAACAGTGTGACGCCTCAAACCGGATGCTCCACACACACAAGTGGACGCGGAAGCACACCAGCACACCAAAACAATAGCACATTAGCACGCCAGCACACCAAAACAATAGCACATTAGCACGCCAGCACGCCAAAACAATAGCACATTAGCACGCCAGCACACCAAAACAATAGCACATTAGCACGCCAGCACACCAAAACAATAGCACATTAGCACACCAGCACACCAAAACAATAGCACATTAGCACGCCAGCACACCAAAACAATAGCACATTAGCACGCCAGCACACCAAAACAATAGCACATTAGCACGCCAGCACACCAAAACAATAGCACATTAGCACGCCAGCACGCCAAAACAATAGCACATTAGCACGCCAGCACACCAAAACAATAGCACATTAGCACGCCAGCACACCAAAACAATAGCACATTAGCACGCCAGCACGCCAAAACAATAGCACATTAGCACGCCAGCACGCCAAAACAATAGCACATTAGCACGCCAGCACACCAAAACAATAGCACATTAGCACGCCAGCACACCAACACGCCAGCATGCCAGCACATTAGCACACCAGCTACACTCACGTGAACCACACTGCATGATCCAATCGCTTGACCCCCGGCAGGCAATCCAGACCGTCCACTTGTGCCTGAGAGCATTAAGAGGGGCAGCGGTGGGGTGGGAAGGGGGGAATGATGAGAGGTGCATACGTGTGAACCACACACCAGTCGCTTCACCCCCTGGCAGACAATCCAGACCATCCACTCGTGCCTGGGAGCACAGATTGGGGCAAGGGGGAGTAGAGGCCGGGGGGGGGAGAGGTGGGGGGGGATGAGAGGTGCACACATGTTAGCCATTCCCGCCGCTTCACCCCCAGAAGGCAATCGAGACCGTTCATTCGCGCCTGAGAACACCAAGAGGGGCAGACGGGTGGGTGGGAAGAGGGGGAGGGATGGTGAGAGGTGCATACGTGAGCCACTCCAGTCGCTTGAACCCTGGCAGGCAATCCAGACCGCCCACTCTAGCCTGGGAGCACGGGGGGGGAAGGGGGGAAGGGGGGAAGGGGGGAATGGTGACAGGTGCACACGCGAGCCACCACACCAGTCGCTTGACCCCGGGCAGGCAATCCAGTCCGTCCACTCGTGCCTGAAAGGACGGAGAGGGGCAGGGGTGGGGGAAGGGGAACGACGGGGTAGAGGTGAGACGGTAACGCATATACGCCGCTGCTTCACCCCCGGGCAGGCAAACCAGGCCGTCATGAGCGGTGAGCAGAGGGATGCAGAGAGCAATCAATGTGGGAATGGGAGTGACAGAAGGAGAGGGAGAGGAGAGGGAGAGAAGGAAAGGGCTCACCAAGCGAGGAGGAAGAGTGTCGGGGAGAGGAGGGAGCTTACAAAAGCAAGGAAGGGGATGGCGAAGGTAACGAAGAGGGCGGCATAGGCCGCCACGAGCACAACTGAGAAGCGCTTCAGAGGCATCTGGAGGGGTGGAAAGTGGTGTGGATTGGTGGATGGGAGGGGAAGCAGGTTGTGGAAGAAGGTAAGGTAACGAAGAGCGCTGCACAACTGAGAGGTGCTTCAGTGGCATCTGGAGGGGATGGGTGAGGAGGATGGAGATGTTAGTATGGCAGTGGCATTAATAAACTTTTAGGTGTCCAAGAGACATGGAAGAGACATGACCCACGTTGACTAGGCATAAAGTGAAGTTTCGAAACGTCCCAAAACCTCACTCTAGTATGGAAAGAGACATGGAAGATACATGACCTATGTCGTCGACTAGGCATTGCCTTACAGGTGTTCACTCATGCAGTCCAGAAAGTGGAAGAGGCACTGAATCCTGTTGACCAAGCATTGACTCACATTGACCAGGGATCGACTCACGTTGACCAGGCGTTGACTCACGTTGACTCATGTTGACCAGGGTGTGGAAGAGGTCCCGTTCAGCTTGTGATACCCATGTAGCTCGATGTTCATCCGACCACTGATTCAGGCATTGACTCACGTTGACCGACGTTGACTTACGTTGACCAGGGTGTGGAAGAGGTCAACGAAGTAGACGTTCAGCTTGGGATATCCATGTAGCTCAATGTTCAACCGACCACTGATTGGAGGGAGAAAGGAAAGGGGAGAGGTGGGGAGGGTGGTTGACGCCTTCAGCTTCGGATACCCATGCAGCTCAACGTTCAGCCGAACACTGAAAGGAAGACGGGAGGGGAGCGGGAGCCGATCCCTGGTTCAGAGAAAACAGGAATAGGTAAGGGGGGAAGGAGGGTGGTGGGGGAAGTGATGGGTGTTTCGAGTGCCCACGCAGCTCGGTGTTCAGCCGACCACAGAGTCAGGGGGAAAAGGAAGGGAGCGGGAGGGGAAAGTGACGGGTGAAGTTCAGGTCAGGGCCTTCAGTTTCGAGCACCCATGCAGCTGGATGTTCAACCGACCTTTGATCAGCTCCAAGTGGAGGGAGGGAGGAACGGAGGGAGGTGGGCCAGGTGGGAGAGCGAGTGAGTGAGTGTAAGCTTCGGGTATCCATACAGCTCGATGGTCAATACCACAAATTCAAGGGAGAGAGGAAAGGGGAGAGGGGAGGGAGGGTGGTCCAGGAAATGTTGAGTGAGTTGAAGCTCAGCCTTTCAGCGGTACCCGTGTAATAGCTGGGTGTTCAGCCGATCACTGATTTATGGGGGGGGCGGAAGGGGGGAGGGGAACGGAAGAACGGAAGGAAGGGTGGTGCGGGAAGCGATGAGTGAATCGAAGCTGAGCCTTTCAGCTTTGAAGACCCTTAAGTCGACCCATGCACGGTCACTTCCTTCGTGAACTAGCTGGGAGCTCAGCTGACCCTTTACTGAAGGGAAGGAAGCGACGCGGAAGTGGGCGTGAAACGGCTACAGAGGGAGCGAAAGGAGTGGCACGGAAGGCAAGAGAGAGGAAGTACGTACGATTCGTCGACGAGAGGAAGCTTCTTAATCTCCGGCTGCTGATGCGTAGCTCGACCCTGCTGCCAAGCTGCTGCCCCGTGTGCCACGTCAGCACGCGAACCGGAACTCGCCATCCTGTCACTAGCGGCTCCTAGCTTTCTCCTAGCTCCTACTTTTCTGGCACCTCCTGGTTTTCTGGTAGCTCCGAACTCCGCCTTTCCTGATACTGAAAAAAATCAAACTGTCGAAGTGACGTCATGGTTGCGCATCCGACGAATAGTCATACCTCCGAATCACGGCCAAAAAAAGGTTGTAGCAAATATACTCCGATTTTGTTGCAAAGCAACCCTTTAAATCGATTTTGACGAATTTTATTCTAATGTTTTTTCATAAAACATGATTACAGTACCACCCTTCCCATTCTGTATATATTCAACTCATTTTTCTTTCTTGTAGTAGTTTTGTGCATATATGCTATACTGTTTGCATTATCTTTTCCTATTTGTTGTGATTTGCATATAATGAATGCTATGAATATTAGTAATGAATTACACACCATGCATGCTTAAATGAATGCAATGAGGCAAGGTATATATATGCATAATATTGATACATGGATGAAAATGCTTTTGCATGTATGCGAAATGCTGATATGCAACATATCAGTGTATCATACAAATGCGTGATAGTTAACAACCCAAAAACTAGGCTAACCCTAGCATGGGGGGGAAGTCAATAGCTAAGTCTTTGAATAATCAACCACCACATGAAATAATACAATATGTTAATTCTAAAAAAAAGGTTAACTCTATAAACTCCAGTTCTAAATGGCCAACACACGAGTCGCTGAGTGCGCCAAAAAACCTTCGAGAAATGATAGAATCGAACCTCCTTAAAATCGACAGGCATGCATTGCTATTGGAATGATAGATGAGATGAATGCACTCACACAAGCAAACACATTCACACAATCAAAAACACGAACACTGGCAAACCCAACAAAAAACGCGCGATAATAAATAGCATGCAAATCAACGTTAAACGGACAATATGATAAATCCTATCAGTGGCCAATACACATTTTCCAGATTCAAATCACATTCTTGACCAGCAAGGCTCCTAAGAAACGAGTTTAGGAAGTAGAAAAGTCTTAAAGTTAGCGAACAACGGAATGATTGGAATAGAAACGAATGGGGTACAAATGAGCAACCCTAGAAGCTGTACCCCCTAGAGTGCAACTCACTATAGCCTATCATATCAATGTTCAACATTTGACACACCCCCATAGGCTAAGTGAGGGGCATCAAAGCAAGCAAAGTGAACAAACGGTCACAAGACCAGTCAAACCAAGAACCAAGGCAAGCTCAGGGTGGATCTCAAGGACACCACACAAATTCCGAGCGCAAGCAAGCGGTCACAAGGCCAGTTCAAGAGTTCACTAGGATATAAATACAAAGCACAACAAGCAGAGCAAGCAACAGGACTACACCAACCGAGGGCCTACCTCAACAAGCCCCAACTGCACACTGAACCTGTGGTGGTCACCAAGCGCCAAGGCCTTGGTGAAGACGTCTGCAGTGTTGGCCTCTGAGGCCACAAAGTCCAGGCGTGCCTGACCGCGTCGCTGCAGCTCTCGCAGGAGGAAGTACCTCACGTCAATATGCTTCACTCTGCTCTCCAGTCGAGGCTCTCGACACAGGAGGATCATGGCCTTGTTGTCAGCGTACAAGGTCGGTGCAGAGCGAGGCCGCTCACCAAGGTCAGCGAGCAAGAAGGTCAACCAGCGAAGCTCCTGTGCCGCCATGGCACCAGCGTAGATCTCTGCCTCTGCACTGGAAGTAGCCACAGACGACGACCGTGTAGACCTCCACGACACAGCACCAGCTCCCAGACTAAAGCAGTAACCCTGAGTCGAACGCTGAGTCTCCACGTCGTCAGCGTAGGAAGAGTCGCAGTGACCAGTCAACGCCACTGGCTGAGTCCCTCCAAGCACAAGCCCCAAGCCTGATGTAGTCGCCAGGTACTTTGCCACCCTCACAGCAGCTGTCCAGTGGACAGGGCGGTGTCTCCCAGTCGCAACAAAGCGAGAAAGGATGCTGAGTGGAAAGGCGAGGTCCGGTCGAGTACAAGTCATCAGGTACATGAGGCAGCCCACCAGCTCTGCGTAGGGTCCACTGGACTCAAAGGGCTCGTCAGGAAAGGGGCCCGTGAGTCTGTGGTCAACAGCAAGAGGAGTGGGCTGTGTGGTGGAGAACTGGAAGTGGAACCGCCGAAGGACCTGCTGCACCATGTGTGACTGCGTCAGTGTGATGGTGCGAGCGGCTCTGTCCCGGGTGATCTGCAGGCCAAGGTAGCGCTGCAGCTCACCCAGGTCAGTGCACTTGTGTCTCTTCTGCAGTTCGGACTTCACCTGAGCCAGGGCTGCCCTGTCTGCTGTAGCAAACACCAAGTCGTCGACGTAGACAAGGATAAAGAAAGGAGTAGAACCCGCTCGAACAAACAGCGACGGGTCGGCGGAGGACGGGCTGAACCCAAGGTCACAAAGCGTGGAGCGAAGAGTGTCGTGCCACTCACGGGGCGACTGGCGGAGACCGTAGACTGGTCGCCTCAGGCTCCACTGGGTCCCAGGTGGGAAGGTGTCAGTGAAGCCAGGAGGACGGCGCAGCCAGATCTCCTCGTGCAGTCGGCCCTGGAGGAACGCAGTGGAGAAGTCGAGGGAGTGCAGCTCGTAGTCTCGCTGCGCTGCTATGTGGAGTAACACCCGAAGAGTAGTCATCTTCGGGGTCGGGGCGAAGGTCTGGAAGAAGTCAACTCCCTCACGCTGACTGAAACCCCTAGCCACGTAGCGCGCCTTGAACACCGGCGGTGCTCCAGGCGGCCGCTTCACCTTGAAGAGCCACATGCCATCGACTACGTTCGCCCTGGGAGGGGGAACTGCGTCGACGTAGGTGCCTGTGGATCTCCAAGACGCCAACTCTGAGTCCATAGCCGCTTTCCACTGAGAGGCCCACGCCCCTGACACTGCCTCGCGGTAAGTGCGAGGAGTCGGTATGTCAAGGGCGTCGGGGTCTCCCTCAGGGGAGAGCAGCATGGCACACACAGAGGGAGAAGCGGCTGCCCAGTACTCCAGCTCAGACTCTCTGTCCTCTAGGACGTCACAGCCAAGGGCAAACCCACCCCCGACGGACAGAGGACGGTAGGGAGGAGCTGGCACCACACGGGTGGCGTAGTCAAGGCGGCTGGCGGCAGCAAACTCAGCGACAGCGGCAGTGAGAGCCGAGACAGACGACGGAGGGAAACGAGGGTCGGTGACAAGAGTGGTGAGGACACGTGCGGCAACAGGACGAACAGCGCGGTAGTAGTCAGAGATAGGAGTGGGGAGGGCAGGTAGAGAGGACGGAGGAGGAGACGGGAGAACGGACACAGGAGAAGGAGAACGACGACGAGACGAACAAAGGAGGGCAGTGTGGAGGTCAGTAACAGGGGACGAGTGACGAGCACGCGGAGGACAACGAGTGATCAAGTCGCGACGGACAGAGGGAGGAGGAGACTGAGGAGGAGGAGAAGACCAGACCGCCGGACGGTCGTCAGGAGGAGGCAACGGAGGAACAAACACAGGAGGAGACTGGGAGCGGACAGGAGGAGAGGAGGAAAGGCCAAGGGCCCGCAAGCCACTCACAGGTGGGAACAACCGCCGCTCTAGAGGAAGCTGCGGTGGCGGCTGCGGCCGCTGCGGCTGCGGCTGCGGCTGCTGCTGCTGCTGCTGCTGCTGCTGCTGCGGCTGCGGCTGCTGCTGCTGCTGCTGCTGCTGCTGCTGCTGCTGCTGCTGCTGCTGCTGCTGCTGCTGCTGCTGCTGCTGCTGCTGCCGCTGCTGCTCCAGAAGGTCCAGCACCCGCAGCTCCTGCCGCTCCCTCTCCAACCGCTCCTGCTCCTCACGCTCACGCCGACGGGCAGCCTGGAGACGCGTGTCGTGGCGGTGGGGGGGCGGGGTGGACTCCGCAGAACCAGGGTCTCCAGCGTCAGTCTCCTCAGACTCAGCACCCCCAGAACCAGTACCGCCAGTGCTAGGACCTCCAACTCCAGCACCCCCAGAACTAGCACCGCTAGTGCCAGCACCCCCAACTCCAGCACCCCCAGAACCAGCACCTCCAGTGCCGGCACCTCCAGCTCCAGCACCCCCAGAGCTAGCGCCACCTGCGCCAGCACCTCCAGCTCCAGCACCCCCAGAGCTAGCGTCACCTGCGCCAGCACCTCCAGCTCCAGTACCCCGCGACCGAGCACCCCCAGACCGAGCACCGCCAGCGGCTGCACCTCCAGCTCCAACACCAACCGAGTCCACAGTAACCTGTCGCGGAAGTGCCGAAGGCTGCTGAGGGGACTGTGAGGAGGACTGCGGGGAGGGAGACGCTACCTGACGCGCGACCGAGGGGAGAGGGGTAGCGTGGGACACACCAGACGGGGCAGGACCAGGGGGGGGCGGGGGTACCGGAGGAGCGGGAGCAGGAGGAGGAGAGGGTGCGAGGAAGAGAGGGGGAGGGGGTACCGGGAGACCTCGACAGGGGTACCGGGTGTAGTAGGACACGGACTCGTCAAACCGGACGTCACGGGAATCTAGGAACTGGTGGAGGGGAGGGTGGTAAAAGGACCAGTCAGCAGAGTCCACTGGGAAACCAAGGAAGACACAGGGGACGGCGCGTGCCGAGAGCTTGTCCGCGGAGGTGTCGCGAACAAGTGCAAGGCAGCCCCAGACTCGAAAGGCCGACCCAACACCAGGGGATCCAGTCCAGAGACTGGTCGGTGAAGCCTCGGGCCGCGAGACACGCGGCTGGAGGTTCAGCTGGTGTGCGGCGTAGCGAACCGCGTGAGGCCACAGAAAATGGGGCGCACGGGCATGAATCATGGACGTGCGGGCGATGTCCATGACCAAGCCTATGCGGCGCTCAGCAACCCCATTCTGCTGTGGGGACTCTGGCAGCGTCCAGGACTGGGTGATGCCCTGTTCGCCGCAGAATCCGCCGAGAATGCCGGAGCGAAACTCGCCCCCACGGTCGGAGTGAAGACAACTGACTCGACGACCACGAGTGCCCTCAGTGGCTAGAAGCCACCTGATCAGCGTAGCAGTCACCTCGGACTTCTTCGCAAGAGGAAACACTGTGGTGTACCTGGAGAAGTCGTCGACGACCACCAGAAAGTAGCGCTCCCTCCCAGACCCCTGCGTCGGGGCAGGGCCCCAGACGTCCAAGTGGAGAGTCTCGAAGGGAGCGGTGGCCGGACGAAGGGAGGAGGAGTGGGGAGTGGCACGTAAGCGACCGGCGACGCACGGAGAGCAAGGAGGGGCAAGCGAGGGAGGGAGCGACGGGAAGGTGCGTGGGAGACCTGTGACTAGTCCCTGACTGAGCATGCCACGAAGGCGAGGGATCGACGGGTGGCCAAGACGGTGGTGCCACAGGACGGTGCGGTGGGCGAGAGAGCGACAGGAGCAAGACGCAGCGACTGGACTGGACACAGCGACCGGACTGGACACAGCCACCTGACCGGACTCTGCTACCGGGGGGGACGAAGCAACCTGACCAGACGCAGCTACCTGCGGGGGCGGAGTGTGCAGGACGAAGAGACCTGAGTGGGGCTCTCTGGTGAACGTGGCAAGAACTGCCCCGGTGGAAGAGTCCGTACAGATCGCAGTCCTCCCGTGCGCAGGAAAAGTGACTGTGATCCCCCGGTCCTGAAGGTATTCAACACCCACCAAGTTCCGAGAGAACGAGGGGATGTAGAGACCAGTGAGGAAACCAGAGGGGACAGCCGGGCACGGGAGGGTGGTCGAGCTACGAGCAACTGCTGGTCCTGAAGTAGGATCAGCCAGGGCAACTGGGACTGGAGCCGAAAGAGGTGTGACAGTGGTGTGGTCGCGGAAGAAACACTGAGACGCGCCGGAGTCCAGCGTGAAGGAGAGCGACGCAACAGCAGTCGTCACGGCTGGGCTAGTGACTACACAAGCACCTACACTAAAAGCACAAGTACCGACACTAGCAACAGGCAAAGGTCCTAAGCTAGGTAAACGTAAGCCAAGAGATCCGTACGTGACTGAATAAACAGCATCCATAGACATATCAAACACAGGGAAACCACTACGAAACAGACCGGGCCAGATCGGGGGAGCCGACTCAGGCCCAAAACGCTCACGGTAAAGGTCGTCGAGGCGGCTGTAGCAGCGCTGTGCAGAGTGGTCAGGACGCCAGCAGGTAGTGCCAGCACCAGGGCCGGTCAGGATCCGGTACTGGCAGGGGCCGACGTCGCGGCCACCGCGACGAGCCCCCCAGCTGGCTGGGCCGCTGCTGCAGCCAACGCGACCTGAACCACCAGGCCCCCATGGCTGCTGAGGGCGCCACAGCTGCTGAGGGCGCCCCTGCCGCTGCGGAAGCCACTGCTGAAAAGGCCGCTGCTGCTGTCCCTGCTGCTGGAGAACCCTAGCGGACTCCATGATAAAAGCTAGCGGGGTGCAGGAGCGGCAGGCTAGGAGCGACAGGAGCGACAGGCTGCTGTGAAAAACGAGAACAACTAGGAGCGCAAGGTGAAACCAGGCGAGTAACTGCTGGAGCACGGAGCGAACTAAGCTAGGAGCGCCAGGTGAAACCAGGCGAGTAACTGCTGGAGCACGGAGCGAACTAAGCTAGGAGCGCCAGGTGAAACTAGGCGAGGAACGGCTGGAGCACGGAGCAAACTGAGCTAGAAGCGCCAGGTGAAACTAGGCGAGGAACGGCCGGAGCACGGAGCAAACTGAGCTACGAGCGAGGAGCGAGAACGGCTGGAGCGAGAACGGCTGGAGCTAGAAGCGGCGAGCTAGGGCTGGCTGGAGGTAGGAACGGCCGGGGCTAGAGACCGTAAGTGCGGCTGTCGGCTGCCGCTAGTAGAGCCACTGGCAGTGGAAAGTACGTGCGACAGTAGGGGCTGCAGTACTGACGGCTGCGGGATGTAGGCAACTGTGCAGGTCGTCCGGCAAGCAGGAACGCGGGCGACAGTCACAGGCCCCCACTGTGAACCCCTTTTTTTTTTTTTTTTTTTAGGGTTTAATTTATTTATTTATTTTCTGGCACTAAAGCACCCCGGGGCGCGCTGCCTGCAGGGTGTGCTGCCTGCGGGGCGCGCTACCCGCGGGGCGCGCTACCCGCGGGGCGCGCTACCCGCGTGGCGCGCTGCCTGCGGGGCTGGGATGACGAGCCAGGGAGGGCGCCTGGGCGACGGGCTAGGACGGGCGCCTGGGCGACGGGCTAGGATGGGCGCCTGGGCGACGGGCTAGGGCGCAGGCCTGGGCGACGGGCTAGGACGGGCGCCTGGGCGACGGGCTAGGGCGCAGGCCTGGGCGACGGGCTAGGGCGGGCGCCTGGGCGACGGGCTAGGGCGGGCGCCTGGGCGACGGGCTGGGGCGGGCGCCTGGGCGACGGGCTGGGGCGGGCGCCTGGGCGACGGGCTGGGGCGGGCGCCTGGGCGACGGGCTGGGGCGGGCGCCTGGGCGACGGGCTGGGGCGGGCGCCTGGGCGACGGGCTGGGGCGGGCGCCTGGGCGACGGGCTGGGGTGGGCGCCTGGGCGACGGGCTCGGGCGGGCGCCTGGGCGACGGGCTAGGGCGGGCGCCTGGGCGACGGGCTAGGGCGGGCGCCTGGGCGACGGGCTAGGGCGGGCGCCTGGGCGACGGGCTAGGGCGGGCGCCTGGGCGACGGGCTAGGGCGGGCGCCTGGGCGACGGGCTAGGGCGGGCGCCTGGGCGACGGGCTAGGGCGGGCGCCTGGGCGACGGGCTAGGGCGTGGGCCTGGGCGACGGGCTATGGGCGCAGGCTAGGGGCGTGGAGGGCGCTAACGCGCGGAGGAGGAGGGCGCTAAGGCGCGGAGATGGCGCGGAGGGCGCGGTGGCTAAGGCGCGGAGGGCGCGGAGGGCGCGGAGGGCGCGGAGGGCGCGGAGGGTGCTAGGGCGCAAGGGCGCGGAGGGCGCGGAGTGTGCTAGGGCGCAAGGGCGCGGAGGGCGCTAGGGCGCGAGCTAGGCTAGGCTAGGCGAGAGGATCGACACCTACTCATGATACCATCTTAAAGTTAGCGAACAACGGAATGATTGGAATAGAAACGAATGGGGTACAAATGAGCAACCCTAGAAGCTGTACCCCCTAGAGTGCAACTCACTATAGCCTATCATATCAATGTTCAACATTTGACAAAAAGATGATCGGAAAGAAATAGTCAGTAACGAATAAACGAAAGAGAGAGAGAGAGAGAGAGAGAGAGAGAGAGAGAGAGAGAGAGAGAGAGAGAGAGAGAGAGAGAGAGAGAGAGAGAGAGAGAGAGAGAGAGAGAGAGAGAGAGAGAGAGAGAGAGAGAGAGAACGAGAGAGAGAGAACGAAAAAGAGAGAACGAGAGAAAGAGAACGAGAGAGAGAGAACGAGAGAAAGAGAACGAGAAAAAGAGAACGAGAGAGAGAGAACGAGAAAGAGAGAACGAGAGAGGGGGAGAGTACGAGAGAGACAAAGAGAGAGAGAGAGGGAGAGAGAGAGAGAGAGAGAGAGAGAGAGAGAGAGAGAGATAGAGAGAGAGAGAACAAGAGAGAGAGAACGAGAAAGAGAGAACGAGAGAACGAGAACGAGAGAGAGAGAGAACGAGAGAAAGAGAACGAGAAAAAGAGAACGAGAGAGAGAGAGAGAACGAGAAAGAGAGAACGAGAGAGGGGGAGAGTACGAGAGAGACAAAGAGAGAGAGAGGGAGAGAGAGAGAGAGAGAGAGAGAGAGAGAGAGAGAGAGGTCTTAGTTTTCAGCCCTCTCCCTCTTCCCTCTGCCCTCTCCCTCTGAGCCTATTTAAGGGGCCCTCTGTGCCTTCCCTGCCTCATTATTTCGTGGGTGTTTCATTTTTGGCGGCTCGCGCCGGCGGCCTTCGGCCGCGCGCTCCAGGTGGCAAGACGCAAAACGTGGGATCGCCTTATAAAGGGTACACACACACATCTAAAGCAAGGGAGCTGGGCAACACCAAGTGGTGCGGCATGCAGTTCTATACGCGGCGGAAGCCTACATCGTGTACGGCTCCACCCCCTCCACCTGAAGCATCGAGCGCATGCACGTCGACACCGCAAGTAGGAGCTGCACCGACGAGTGAAGGGTGTCCACTAGCGCCCCAATGCGAGCAGCCCCCACAAGATCCTCTACGTGGCGAGGGAAGGTACGCGCTAAGGGCGCTACCCCGGTGGGCGCTTCCGACACGGGTTCCAAAGGCAGGGTGAGAGCTTCTGCCCAAGACATGCACGACCCTCGGGACCCTGGAGCGTAACTGCCCGGAGAGTTACGCATGGCCCCACACACCGCCATCTACAAGCTCGCCACCCCTTCGCACGCCTCCGCTAGATTCAACATCCGGCACATGGTCAGCATGGGGTCTCTCCCCGTGCGAGTGGGGGGAGGTGCAATCGGAGCTTCGCGCGGAAAGGCCGCCGACCGGCCCGGGGCTCGCCCAAACGAGAACTGCGGAGCATGGAAGCCCGGGGCCTGCCGAACGGTGCGGAACGGCGCTCTTGCCTCCCGCGCGGGCTGATACTCACGCAAGGTTGGCGCGCGAAGCGGAGTCGCCAAGCCAGGGTCTGAGGCGAGGGGGGGGGGGGGGGGGGCATTAGTTACAGCAATATGCACATGAGTCGGCTCCCCGCTCGCCTGCGCATGACGCATCGCCGCGGCCACCACATTCACGGCCCTATCGACCGCAGGATCGTGACGGGGACTGTTCCCGCCACGGCCCGACCCATTCCGCCACCACGCCAGCCACCAGACCCAGCAGATTGCGGACGCGGCAGAGACGGCTCGCGGCGTCCAGAGTCCCAGCGACGGCCAGGCGACCCCCTGCCCCGCCTCGCCGGAGATTGCCGCGGAGAGCGCTGAGCGGGGGATTGTGCTCGTGGTGAGCAATGGGCTGCCCGACCTCAATGGGACTGGTGCCAAGGAGAGCGACGACGCTCAGGGGACCGCTGATCACCCTCTCCGCGCCGGAGAACTTCGTGACGCTCAGGAGAGCGGTGCCGAGGGGATTGCTGCCGCGGAGGCTGACGCGGCAGCGAGCGCCCGTGCTCCTGTCGCGGCTGACCAGCAGGGCGGCTTGACGCAACTCGAACAGGCGCCCACGAGTACTCTGGCGAGGATGGCCGCGAGGAGGGCCGAAGAGGAAGAGTCAGCCCGCTCTCAAAGCGGCGGACGGGCTCACTTGCGGAGGGGTGCGCAGAGAAACACGGGCGAAGACCAGCAGGCCCCCTCTCAGGCTCCGCACTATCCGCAGTCCCCTCTAGCGCTGGATTGCGACCCACTGATGGGTTCATCACTCCCGATTCCACCACCGCCGACGCCAGCTTGCCGACAAAGCAAGGACGATGTCGTCGTCGCCCCTCAAACGAGGCGCATAGGAGCAGCTGGAGGGAGAGGTACGTGGGGAATCCGAGTGGGACGTAGCAACGGCCGCCGCGCACGTCGCGGAAATGGGAGAGGTCGACGAGGAGGCAGAGCCCGACGGACAGGGGCGAGTGCCTATGCTAGAACAGCCGAGAGATTACTCCGGGAAGGCATGGATGGCGGCGAGGAGGTGGCAAGCGACGAGACGAACTTGGAGGTAGAGGATGCAGAGAATGAGGAGAGTGACGTGGGTGACCCGGCCTTTAGCCCTGAAAGAGAGGGGAGTTTGGAGCCTGAATCTAAGGAGGACGAAGAGCTCCTCCAGCACGAAGCAGCCCTTCCCAACCGGCGGAGGGAGGCCGCGCAGAAAATCCGAGGCACTGCGCGAAAAAGAGCAGCGGGGGAAAACAACATTGGGGGGAGAAATCGAGTCGCAATTGGAATTGGGACATTGGGGGGAGACCGAATCGCGACAGGGGACGGAGTCAACCCTGCAGCAGCCAATGAAATTCCTGCAGGTCAAAATCCCCCCCTGCCAATGCTCATACCTGACGACCTGGCTAAACGAACTGACCTTTTTGCCCAGGTCGCAAACTCGAACCTTGACCCCCTACGCGACGGTCGCCAGCCACCACTCACTCGCCACCCACCAAAGGACCTCCATGAGTCCTTCGCAATCTGCCTACTGACACTGCTACTGCACCTGGCATCCAACCCAGAATCAGGCGCAGGCTGGAGGTTACTGACATTCCTCCTGCGAATACTCCTTCGCACGTCGTCAGCACGAAAACCAGATTGGAGCGCGATGATGGATCGCCTCCTGCGATTCCGCCAAGGCTTCTGGACAGGCTTGTATGACGAAGCTGTCCATGCAGTTTCCCTCCCACCACAACCCCGCCACGCATTGGACACCACAGGGATCCTCGCTAGAGCAGAGGGACTCGCAAAATGAGGATATCTCTCCAAGTCCCTACAGTCCCTCCAAGCCACCCCTGTCGCGCCAGCCTCGCCCACTGTGCTGGAGGCCCTCACCGCTAGACACCCTCCAGCACACGACTCCTGTGACTGGGTGCAAGGCTACACCACCAAAATCCACCTGCTATCGAAGCTCGAGACCTCAGGCGACTTATCGCCAAACTCCCAAACGGAGTCACCAACATAGCCCGAGGAACCTGCTATCGAAGCAGGTTTTCGAGGGGCTGAGGAACGAAGCGCTAGAGAACCTCATCCCCCTGGTCCGGAAAAACCTACGGAGTCCCCTCCTCACTCTTCCTTGATCACGAATTCGCGTGGCTCCCCTGCCAAGCGCCAGGGGGTTCCGCCTAGGAGATCCCCTCGGACCCCTACTATTCGCCGCCAGCATCCACCCATGCCTCGTTGCGACAGCAGCAGCTCACCCGCAGGTCGTCCTACTCGCCTATGCCGACGACATCACGCTCCTTGGTGAGGCGCCAGCCTGCTCCGCGGACTTTGACCACCTCACAGCCGCGCTCACCACCATGGGGCTCCTCCACAAGTCAGCCAAGTGTGCGGCCTGGTCTGCCGCCCCAATTGACCCTGCCTTCGTACCCCCCGGCATCACCATCTCGAGCGAAGGGCTGCAAATCCTCGGCAGCCCCATCGGCACGCCACAGGGTTGCGTCGCAGCAGTTAGGGACAGACTCACGGCAGCAGCTGAACCACTCCCGCTGCTAGCGCAAATAGACCCGCTGCTCTGCCTCCTCCTCCTCACACGTTGCGTCAGCCGCCGCGCCTCCTTCCTGGCAGGGACAACCCCGCTGGAGGTCTTGCCCGAGGCAGAATGGTCGGCCTAGGGGGAGCGGCTGCTCCATGCATTCCTAGGTGCCGCTCACATTGTCACACCAAGGAGCAACGCGGAAAGAAGGCGAAGCTTGCGGCAGGCCGCGCTTCCCGTTACCCTGGGGGGTTTGGGCATTACTGACCCAGCTGTGGAAGGAAGTTACACGTACCTCGCCTTGGTGATCGGCGCTGCTCACCTCCTGCACTCGCTCGCCGACTCCTTACACCCCGCCATAGCTGCACTCCTCCCCCTTATGGACTCCGTTCTGGACTCCGTAGCAGCCCTGCCTTCGCGCCTAGCTGCAGCCGAAGCGGCCCTACCTCCAGAAGCCTTAGAGGCCCTCCAGGCTAGAAAAAGTGACCCCAAGGGCGTGAGGCTCCAGTAGTCCCTGGCTCTGGCAGTCCACACCCGTCGCTACCTTCGAGTGCTCGACAGGGCACGGCGGATGCGCCCCAACCCCCTCTCAGGGCATGCCCAGCGGATGCAGTCCCTGCTGGGCCCGGGAGCAGGGGACTGGCTGCTGGCAATTCCTCTCACTTCTGCGCTAAGGCTGGGCCCCGCCCAACATTCTACTGCATCTGCATTCCGCCTAGGCCTCCCCCTCCCTGTCCCGAAGCGGTGCGACTACCGATACCGCACCACCTTCCCTGATGACCGCCACCTGAACCACCTTATGCGCTGCGAGAAGGGGAAATGGAGGAATGCCACACACCACGCTCTTAGGGATGAGATAGCAAGGATAGGGGCAGAAGCAAGCTTCACGGTTCACAAGGAGACCTATGCCTATTTTCTAGTTGAAAACCTCAAAGCGGATGTCTCCATCCGCCATCCCCTGACCGGAGAAGTCTGGCTTTGTGATGTGACCATGACAGACCCGGTGTCTTACCAGGATGAGAACTGCAACCGCGCACCAGGTTGGGCGGCTAGGGGGTTAGTCCTTCGCCGTTTTTCAGCCTCTTAGTCCTAGCTCTTAGTCCTTAGCCGTTTTCCAGCCCAATTTCCTAGTATATAGTCCTTAGATGTGCCCTTTCTGAGCTCATTCTTCACTGGTGAGTTCAGTTCACTCTCCAAAACCGGCGCCTCACGCTGTGGCAAGGAAAGGGACGACAAGAATTATTACAACATGAAGTTGTTGTAACCTACAGCAACAACAACACCCCCGGGCGTGCCTACATCGCCATGGGGAAGCCCAAGGCCAAGCCCGCCGGCAAGGGGAAAACACCGGCTACTCGGCGAGTATCTAGCATAGCCTCCCGTCCATCCAACGCAGGACGGATGCGGCTGCTGATACAAGGCCGAGGGGGGCCTGCTGGGCGGACTCCGCAAGCCGCACCATCGCCCCAGGCCCGGGCCCGAGCGCTGCACCAGGGGCGCCAGGGACAAGGCCGATCAGGGGGAGATAATGCAGCATCTCCGTCGCGCAGACACCGCTGCCGACTGCTCCGACGGTAACATCCCCCCGACCTCGACGCCTTGCCGCGCCAAACACATGTGGAGCTGGTCCAGAACGTAAGACAGCAACGTCAAGCACGTCCCCACATGCATTACGCGCTGCTCGACGTGGAGAGGCGTCGCTGCTACATGAGCGGGAGCACGAGGAGCTGGGGGGACGGGAGGAAATTGCAGCACCCAAGGAGTCGGCGGCTGATGCAGCTGACGCTGAGGTAGCGGGAATGAGTTGGGCGGGGGCGGCTGAGGCTGAGGCTGCTGAGCCTGCTGAGGCTGAGGCTGCTGAGCCTGAGGTGGCGCCACTGGCTGAGACGGAGGCGGTCGTTGTGGCTGGGGTGACGTCGACGGTGAGGGAGGTGACAACTGTGCCGGAGATGGTGGGGGAAGGGACTACTGCTGTGACTGCTGCCGCCTCTGGCGACGGCTTAGCCTCGCCCCCGCCTGACCACCCGAATGCGTCGCCGCCACCATGGGAGCACGGCCAGGCTGGGGAGGAGTCCCGAACTGTGTGGGGAGATTCGTCGTCACCGCTCGGGGTGGCGGAGATTGCGGAGGTCGTGGCGGAGGCAGTGAGGCGACCGGAGGGACCCCCGAGTGAAGAGGCTGCGCCGACCACCGCTGCGTCCGCCGGAACGACTGCTGCTGCCGCGGCCGCAGGCAGGCAGGGGCGCGCCCAGAAGGGGAGTGAAAGACTGGGGCCCGGGACTTGCGCCGCTGCTTGCGCCGCACGCGAGAAGACGGGGAAAAGGCTCCGCGCCCAGCCAACACCGAGGCGGCCTGGAGCAGGGCTGGGACCTGGCGCCCCGGGACCCCTCCTCGGCTGGCTGCGACAAGGGCTGCCGCCATGAGAGCCAGTGCGTCCGTCTCCATCTTCCTCTCGCCCGGTGATTGACGCGGAAGTGGATGAAGCTGAAGGACCCGCGGAGCCACAAGCGGTGATGACAGGAGCGACGGGAGCAGCAAACTCGGCGGCACCAGCACACAAAATACGCGGCGTTCGCCACGCCTAGGTGCGGTGACTTGGGGACCGCCACGAGGAGGACGAACGCCGTGGATGCCGGTCGGGCGCGGCGGAACCACGGGTAGCACGAGACCACCGACGGGCAGAGGGAGAGGAGAGCGGGGGGGCGCAGGACGCGGTGGGCGCGGAGGACGCGGAGCCCGTGGGGGACAGACGATCGTGGGCAGGGTCGAACGCCCAGTACGGGCATGGCCTTGGCGGGAGAGGCACGATAGGCCAGAACCTGAACCTGCTCCAGCGAATGAGGAGGCAGCTGACTCTCACAACTCTGGGAATGACCCCGGGTTTATGGGCAGGGAGGAGGAGGAATCAGAGGAAGTCTCACTGGAGGATGAGGAGGGAGAGGACAGGAACACATCCAACAGGCGACGAAGGGCCTCGGGTGGTAACCCACCAAACCCCCCTAACAATGAAGGAGCGTCGGCCACCGAGGCGACGAATGGGCCCTTGCCTGCCAGTGAGGCAACGAATGCGCCTTTGCCTGCCACCGAGGTGACAGATGTGCCCTTGCCGGCCGACCTGGCAGACGTCGAAGCCATTTGGCGGACAGCAGGGGACTAGGACGTGTCTCAGATGCAGCGTGGAGACCAGCCGTTTTTGGTCCGCCGCGTACCCCCGCAAATCCTGGACAGCTATTGCCTTTGCCTGCTGGCGACACTCCTCCGTCTGAAGAAGTTTCCCGACCATGCGGGTGCCTGGAAGGTGCTCCAATTTCTGCCGAGATTGACCCTACGACCACCTCCCGAACCGGTATTTGGAAGCAGATGGGCTCGGATCGAGGCTCGGCTGCACCAATTCAAACTCGGCAAATTCGAGGAACTTTTCGAGGAAGCAAACACCATCCCCGAAACGGATGCCCCAATAAGACACCAACCGGATGACGAGGGCCTCTGTGCTAGGGCTGAAGGCCTTATGAAAAAAGGCCTTCGGCGGCCGGCCCTCGACAGCGCGGCCTTCGGCCGCGCGTGAGGGGACGGCAAGTTACAACAACACTAAAGGAGAGAGATACAAGATGCGGCACTAGAAAGGGCCCACAAAACAGGGGCAAGGTAAGTAGGAGAGTCTAACATGGGGAACAAGAAGGCAAACAACGTCGCCAAGAGGGAGCGGGGCGCTACACGCGGTTCAGCACGTAAAACCGCCGGCGCATCCAGCGCAAGAGAACAGCGAGCGCAGGCACGAGCTCAAGGGAAGACTCCTCCGCAGCCTTGGCTACCCGCCGGAAAGCCCGTGCGCCAGGGCCCTCGTCCTGCTCGGGGAACTCGGGCTCCATGGGCAAACGGAGGAGGCGCCAGAGACCCTGCGCCGCCGCCTCCCGGACAACACCCTGCTGGGGCTCCGTCAACTGAGGATCACGGAGAACGAGGTTCCGCGCCACCAAGCCGGCGTGCAACTGCTCGAGAACGGTCGCCACATGCGACATGCACTCCCCAACCGCCACCATCCGCTTCTCCCAACGGAGGATGTCCTTCACAACATCGGACTGGATGTCCCACTCGCGGCCCCACAGAGTCGCAGGCTGGGGGGGGGACTCCCACAGCTCCCCATTCCACCACCGCTCGTCGTCCTCGGGGTCAGGAGCATCGGGAGGAAGCTCAGGAGATTGGGCGCGAGGAGGAGGAAAGCGAGCTTCAGGAACAGGCCCAGACGGAACTAGGGGATGCTGCCGCTGCGGAGGCTCGACAGGAGGAGGAGAGGCGGAGGGAAGTGGCGAAGACGGGTGGCTCACAAGGGGTGCCCGGGCCGACGACGACAACGGAGGAGGTGCCAGAGGAGGAGAGGAGGAGGGCGGCGGAGCAGGGAGCGGGGCCGACACCGCAGGGGGAGCCGGCGACAGCGGTAGAGGAGGCGCAGCGACGCCAGACGACAGCTGCTGCGACGACTGCAGCGACACATCCGGCGACAGCACGGACGGAGCACCCAGGCGCAAGGGGGACGGCGGCGGTTGTAGCAGGGGGCCCACAAGCTCCCTCTGGGCGGCGGGGGCAGGGCGAGGCGGACGGCGGCGACGGAACGAACCACCGCGGGCCCGGAGGTGAGGATGAGTCCGCCCGCGGGGAGAACGATAGATCGGCTCACGGCGCCGGGCGAGCGTCCCGGCCCCCTCGTGCTCGACCAGTGCAGTGGCGGCTCGGAGCAGGACTGGCGCCAGCCCTTCCTGGGCCCTCGACGGGCTGGGAGCGGCAGAGCCCACTTCGCGGTCCGGATGGGAGGGACGGCGACGTTTGCCCGTCATCGCGGCGGGACCTGCAAGCACAGCCGGATCCAGAAGAGGAAAGGCAACACGGAGGTCAGACCGATGCGCGACGGCAAGGGCAGGTTAACCGAGGAAGGGGAAGCCTAGACAGCAGATCAACTGGAGCAGAACCAGGAAGAAGAGGTGGCGGCTACCCTGACAACGGCGTGGCGAAGGCAGAATAACGAAACCAGCAGACAGAGGGTCCTACGAGAGCAGGCGGAAGACAGGGCGAGAGGTCAGCAGCCGCGAAACGAGGCAGGAAACACGGCCACGAGGGGGCACGGGAGGGGTCGGGGCAGAGGAGGATGGGTAGGCGAGCTTGCGAGAGCCAGAGGAGGAGAAAAAGCCAGATCGGGAAACTGGGGGGAAAGGCACGGGAGGCCAGAGGAGCAGAGTGAACGACCAATGAATGACCCGGCAGAGGAAGAAGAGTCGGAATATATGGAGGAGGAAGAGGCGGAATCGGAAGAGGTGTCTGTGGAGGCCGAGGATGGCATCCCAGCTGGCAATGAGGGGAGATGCCGACGTGGCGGACGCCGAGGACAAGAGGGAAATAATCCTGAAGGGGAGGGGTCAGGTGGGCGAATCACCAGCTCAGCGGTCGAATGAATCTGCCAGCAAGGAGCGCTCTCCAAAGGACATTGCGGAGGATGATGACACATGGTGGGCGATCGAGGGTTGGGACCTGGACCCACTGCGGGCCAGCTCCCAACCATTCCTGGTCAGGAAGCTTCCCCCAGAAATCCTGAAATCATACAGTCACTGCCTGACGATCCCCCTCCTGCGACTCTTGAAACACCCGGGCTGCATGGGCGCGTGGAGGGTGCTGCAATTCCTACCACGGCTTACACTGAGGGCGAATACGGAAAAAGTGCCGGGAAACAGCCTCGACACAGTGGAGAAGAGAATTCGACAATTCCAAGAGGAGGATTGGGGCTCGCTGTACCTCCAAGCCTGCACCATCCCAGACAATTCCCAACCAAGCAGACACGAGCCAGACGCAGAGGTCATCTGCGCGAGAGTAGAGGGGTTGGTCCGAAAGGCCAACCTAGCGAAGGCTGCAGCAGCGTTACAAATCACCCCGTTGGCAGAGCCGTTGCAACAGGCACTGGAAACACTCCAGGCGAAACACCCGCGAGCGGAGGTGGCGACACCTGAAGGGCTGGGGGGTTACGGTGAAACAGCACTCGCCATTGGCACAGATTCGTTCCGCGACATCTTAGCGAAGTGCCCAAATGGAATAGGCGTAGGCCCATCAGGCACTTGCTTCGAACACCTATGCGACCCTGCCCTAACAAACGGAGAACTCTTCTTCCTGCTGCACCAAGTGGTCAATAACCTACTAAGCACATACCAGAGCGCGCCGCTAAGGGAGCTGCTGCTGCCGTCGAGGTTAATCGCCCTGGAAAAACCGGACGGCGGAGTGAGGCCGATAGCAATTGGGGAGGCGATCCTTAGGCTAATGGCAAAGGCGGCACTACGGGAACTGTCCGGGGAGATCCGGTCACATTTCTTACCAGTACAATACGGGGTGGCCGTACCGGGTGGAGCGGAGTGCATAATACACACGGCCCATACGCTACTGGCAGAGGACCCGACACGAACAATATTACAGCTGGACATTGAAAATGATTTCAACTCGGTCGAACGTGGGAGCTTCCTGACGACACTGCTATGGACCGCCGGACTGAGCTCGCTACTACCACTTGCAAGAACTCTCTACGGTGCGCCGTCGAAGCTACTTCTGGACAAAGGCTTCACCGTCGGCTCCATCGACAGCGCCCGTGGCGTTAGGCAAGGAGACCCGCTCGGCCCCATGCTGTTCGCGGCAGCCATACAACCGACCCTGCTGGAGGCGGCGGTAGCAGTCCCGGGCGCGACAAGGACATTTACTATGATCCTGCAGGGGCTTGCTGGACTGGGGTTGCGGTGCAATATCGCTAAGTCATCAGCTTGGAGCCCCACGGGAAACACGACAGACTTACCAGACGGATTGGCGGCAGTGGTGGACGGGGTGAAGGTCCTCGGGAGCCCGATAGGCACGGAAGCGTACTGCAGACGCACGCTGAGAGCATCGCTGGAGCGTATAGCCCTTCCGCTTAGCCTAGTCAGCAAGCTGCACCCACAACACGCGATGCTGCTCCTGTCGCAATGCATCTCGCGCAAGATCAGCTACAACGCCGGTGGACGTCCTCCCCGTCCGAGAATGGAGGGGGTGGAGCGAAAGGCTGCTGTGGACGGCACTAAGGGCGGCCAACATCAACGTACCTTCAATGGAGCTGGAACAAAGCCTGTTGTGGAGGCAGGCGACACTACCCATCGCGTTGGGCGGTGTGGGGCTGATAGACCCGCTGTCGGAGGCGCCGGCGGCATACCTCGCATCGCTAAGGGCAGCACAGCTGCTGCTGCAGCAAATGCCGCCCTCGCCGAACGGCCAGCTGTCGCAGGTGGCGACGCTGGTGTCACCACTTGGGGACGGAGTGGCAGGGAGGGGAGGAGAGGCAATTCGAGACATGCGGACCAGACTCCCAGAGGAAGCACGCTCACTGCTAGGAGAGCCGGGAGACAGCAGGGGAGGACGGGGTCGCCTGCAGGAGCAGCTGTCGCGCCACATAAACATGAACCGGGCTGCGGAGCTGGTGGGCGACACACGGATGGACAAGCCGGGGGAGGACAACGGGCATGTGGTCCGGTTGATTAGCCTGCAGGGGGTAGGCGCGGGGGACTGGCTCCATGCAATCCCTACGCGGGCAGATCTTACGTTCTCGCCGGGCCAGTTTGCGTTGGCCCTGGGATTCCGCCTGGGACTGACGCTGCCGGTGACGGAGAACTGCCCGTGCCAAGGGGAGAGGGGGGAGATAGGGGACCTGAGCTTGCCGAACCACCTGCTGCGGTGCGGGGAGGGGAAGGAGAGGACAAACACGCACAACAACCTCGTGTTTGCAGCGCTCCGCATGGCCAGGGAGGCGGACTACCTTACCTGGTATGAGACCACGGTCTACTCGCAACCTATCAACCCCAAGCGAGTGGACCTGGCCATCAAGGACAGGGAGTCCGCCGAGACGTATGTGACGGATGTCACGGTGACCGACCCGGTCCTACAGCGCCGGGACACGAGGGCGGTAAAACCGCCGGGTTGGGCGGCGGAGGATGCGGCGAGAGGGAAGAGGGGATTATATGAGGGGCGGCCGGATTACGTGGGGGTGTTTGGGCTGGCGGTGGAAACGTACGGGGCCCTGGCACGCGACACCCAACGGTTTCTTCGGCTCTTGGGCAGGCAGGCGGCTAAAAAGAAGTTTAGGCAAGGGAGGCTTACCACGGTAGCCTCCAAACTTACGGCGCACTACCGCCAGCGGTGGTCGGTAGCGCTGCAGAGGAGCCAGGCAAACACTTTCCTGGCCGAGTCTAACCGGGCTGCAGAGGATGCCTACCCCCAGGCGGCGGCTGACCCATGGGAGCCCCGCCTGGGGGACCTGTGCCAAGTCATTGAGGATGACTTGGACGTGTGAGGGGCGGGACAGAGGGGGCGGCCATGGCAGTAGGCGGCTCTCTCCCACTGGTAGGCGTGCCTCGAGGTCATACTAGTATCTGACTGCGTTGGGAGTGGAAGGCTAGAGGATAGCTTTGCTGTTTTATCATGTATGGCTTGTACCCCTTTATAATATTAATGAAGGACCGCTTGAGAGAGAGAAAGAGAGAGAGAGAGAGAGAGAGAGAGAGAGAGAGAGAGAGAGAGAGAGAGAGAGAGAGAGAGAGAGAGAGAGAGAGAGAGAGAGAGAGAGAGAGAGAGAGAGAGAGAGAGAGAGAGAGAGAGAGAGAGAGAGAGAGAGAGAGAGAGAGAGAGAGAGAGAGAGAGAGAGTTCATAACCACGGTTTCAAAAGAACCTATGTAGTATTCAAAATATGACAGTTAGGAGGATATGACGGTTCTAAACCGAAGAAAAGCAAAAGGTGGAAGAGAAATGTGCAAAAACGAGGAAGGAATGATGCACTAAACGAACAGAAGACATGATGAAGAACAAAGAACCAGGTGCAGGTTTATCTACAAAAGATAGCTAAAGCATTTACAAAGCGCCAAAGAATTGAGAAAATGAAATGTGAGCATAGATTGGAACTAGAAAACAAATGGATAAAGGAATAATGCAGCAATTCTAGAAGTTGTGAAAGTGAGACGAAAAATTGGCATTGCAGGCTGTAAACAAAGAACGACCTGGGTGGTAATCGAAATGGATTAATCCGACAGTAAAATGGCTAGTTGCTAAGTCTAAACGACTGAAACAAATGATAACGGTTAAGACAGATGTATCTACTATCATCTTAATGTGAAAATGAACGAGGAATGAGTAGGAGCCATAGCTAGGTAAGCCCTAGCTAGGCAAGAGAGAATAAGCAAAGGAGGATGTTCACTAGAAAGCAGCAGGATACATATAGGAAACCCTAGGGGGTTGTACTCACTATAGAGTACCCCACTGCAGGCTAGAGAACAATAACATTCTGACACACCCCCATAGTCAAAGTGGGGTATAATCAGCAGAGCAAGTAGTCCTAGAGCAGGTTCACATGCACAAGTAAAGCTAGGGGCAGTCGCAGAGGGCAAGTGAGGAGGAGGAGGAACTGTGGAAGGAGAGAAGATGGGAGGCAACGACTGAAGCTGCAGAGGCACGGGCACAGGAGCGGCTGACTCAGTGGCTACCGAAGCAAGGGCGACGGACTACTGGAGTAACTGGCTCCGCGGCTATAGACGAGCGGCAGGAACAACGGACCCACTGGCTACCGAAGCAAGGGCGACGGACTACAGGCGCTGCAGGCGACACGACCGCTACCTCCACACAACCTCCTCCAACTGCCCCACACCCTCGACACACACCCCCTGCTGAACCCCTAACTCCACTCCTACAGCACCCCCCTTAAACCCTAAACCCTAGGCTCCCACACACCCACCCCCCTCAGCGGCAGCTGCAGCAGTGGGAGACCAGGGAGGAGGAGGAGCAAGGGGA